TATATATATATATATATATATATATATATATATATATATATATATATATATATATATATATATATATATATATATATATATATATATTAATATATGTGTTCCCAACCTCCCGGATCTCTGTGCCCCAAACACACACTTTACAGTAAAATACACAAATTTACGTCTACATGACAATATAAAAATTATGTAAATATATACATAATATACACATAATCCTCTTTAATGTATTGTGGATACGTTACGAAATTTGATTTCATAATAATACTATGTCATTACTTCATACGAACATATTAATATTACATTTATATATATATATATAATAAAGAAATTAAGAGATATTAGAAAAATTCTAAACTTATTATTCTTAACTTAAATTCTTATTCTTAACTTGAAAACTAAACATGAAAATAATTTTACTATTACATTATGTATTGTACAAAACTTTTCCGCTTGCATATTTTATTGTTTATTAAATTTGTAAAAGTAGTGTCTGGTTATAGCAAAATATTTTTTACTGATAATATTTGAATATGCTATTTCAGGCAGCGTAGGTAAAAATATTAATAAAATCAGTTCGGAATTCGATATGAAATTTAGAATAGTACGAAAGACTAGAATTATGAATAGTACGCAAAAGTTAATAAACTATTAGATATATTTTTCCTAAGCCTTTGTTATCAAAAGAAAAATAATATCATAACTGCGTGTAAATTTTACAGTGTAGAAAGAGAGAGAGAAATAGTGAGAGAGAATGAAAGAGAGAGAGAGGTATCGTATATCTACAGCTCTAACCGGTGGATTCGTGTAATATATTATTTTATTGCATGGTCGTAACAAAATCATACACGGTAGTCAGGAATGTATAACAATTATAAAACGTGCCAGAAGTTCATAAATCATTTCGCCACGTAGATGATTTAGAGCCGAAAACTCGAGTTTATCGCAACTGTGATTAAGATCGATATAATCATTGTATGTGTTTATTATGTTTACCTAAGTCGAAGTCGGAAACTCTAGACACTGCGTCTAGTGTATCGAGAAAGAAATATCATTGTGTAGTGAACTATTACTATATGACAATAATAATTTTGCGATGCTTATAATTTGTATTTTCGCATAATTTTGTGTTTTTAATGTTATGAAACAAGTTTAAGTCATCTTATTACAGAACTTTTTGATACTTTCTCAGATTATGCTTTTAGTCTATGAAATACATTAAGAGAAAAATATCTAAAAAATAGTAAATATTTATTTAGTGAGTGATTACTAATAACATGTTTACTTAAATTTAATTCTTTTATTTAAATAGAATAAACAATTGCTTTCATGAAAAAGATATTTTTAAGATTTAAGATATTTTTAAGATTTCAAGAATATATGAATATATTTTCTTATTTTAGAAATATTTCATATTAGTACAAGTAAAAATATATTATTAGTACTTACTGAATAAATACTCAACCCTTAGTGATTTATGTGATAAACAGCATTACATGTGGCCCTATATGGATCTTGCGATTCCGGGCTTTTTATCATATTTTTAAAGTAGTTCAAAAAATCTGTAAAAATTCATGAATATACTTTCAAGTTTCTAGAACGAATACTTGTACTTTATTGTGCAAAAAATTAAAATATAGTATATCCGGAACCAGGGTTGGGTAAGTTAACTTTTTTTTTAACTAAGTTAAGTTAAAGTTAATGGCTTTGAAAATTTAACTTAGTTAAGATAAAGTTAACCCATAATGAAATTAATTGAATTAAAAGTTAAGTTAATAAAAAAAAATTAATTAAAAAGTTAAAAGTTAAATTTCATTTAATGACATCAGGGTTTCAGTTTTACAAACAACGGAAAAAACAAATATCTATAACTTATTTGGAAACATGTTTTATTTACAGGTACTTATTAAATTTAAGTAATAAAGTTTTTTCGAAACTTTTATCGCATATTTTTCCTCGAAGATTGTCGAAAATGAGCCCTCCTGCACTGAACAGCCATTCGACATCTCACGACATCTTTCTGGCGGAGTTAACTTCAAGATAATTGAATTAAAAGTTAATAGTTATTGAAAAAATGTAACTAAGTTAAGTTAAAAATTAAGAGTGTAAAAATGTAACTAAGTTAAGTTAAAGCTATTTAATTTTTTAACTTAACTTTTAACTTTTTAACTAGTTACTATCCAACCCTATCCGGAACCCTTTAACGTGCTGAGAAATTTCTATGAATAGAAATCGTCCGGACCCGAAATATCTATGTAGAGTCACTAAGGGTTAATATTCTACTTCTTAGATGTTCTCTCTCTCTCTCTCTTTCTCTTTAATTTTGTGAGGTTAATTTTGCTCTTAGTGTAAAAGCTTTTAAATGTTCTTAACTTATTCAAGAACGTTATTTTATTTTACATAATTTATTTTCTACATTCCATACCTATTTTGTAATATTTTATCATTATTTTATTATTATATGTGGTATTTTTAGTCTAACTGATATACAGTTAACTCACTTCTTTGTATATTTTGATCTATAAAGTATAAAAATAACGATAATATTTTATACTTGTAATATAATTTCTTATATTTTATTAAAATTATATTTAACTAATATTCTACGCTTACTTATTTTACTTATATTACATAATAAAAATAACGTTGCTAATAACATTTTTATTGCGGTACATGCAAAAACCGATTAAAGTAACAATTATGCTCTGCATTCATCCGAGTAGAGAATATAGTTATGTCTCATTCGATAAAAGTGCGAGTTGTCTTTTCTTCAGCGAAATTATACTTTCACCGTGTATTACGTTTTACACATCTCGAATAATATTAATATTCTATTACGTTGCATATACGTTTACATTACAGTGTTATTAATGATACAGAGTAGTTCAATTCAGTGATTACGAAGATAGAGATAATCATTGATGTGTTATTAGATTTTTCTGATGAAGTACTAGCGTGAATTACTCTCTAATGACGAGATAGAAAAGTATCAATTTTCTCATGATTAATATGAATTATTTCATATCTTGTACTTTTCAAACTAACTTATTATGCTCTAATTTGTTATAATATTTAGTTAAAAATCTAAAAGTATATATGCGCGATAGTCCATAGTTCCATAAAGATTCCGATCCCTTCCATAAAAGAAGAGAAGAGCTACATTTACACACTTCAAAGTGTTACGATCCGGTTTACGTTATTATCCCGACTCCGTTCAAGCTCATTCGTTTGACACGAAATTGTCGTTGGCCGATGGTGACAAGAATGCTTTCCATCGGGATAATCTAATAGATCAAAACGCCTGAAAACATTTATTGCGCCTCTATAATCGAAGATAATTTCTGAGCGTCACGT